GATGGATTGCAAGTGATGCTGGGATAAGCCGCTCCTCTAAAAGCAGGGATAATCACTGTATCTGTTTTATAAGACTGCTCCAAGGATTAAACGAGTCCAGTGTAGCTTGTAACAGCCTCTGGCACATCCTAAACGTTAGTTGTTTTTAGTACCTGGATGATAAACAGCTCAATCCAAAGAGCTGTCATGGCAGTCCCCACCCATAGCAACCCAAGGTCAGAGGAAAGCTGCCCCACAGGGTTTCCCAGGCCATAACTCTATGGACGCCAACTGCCACATTCCCCCCCACGCGAACGGGTGAGCAGGCGTTTCTCAGGCTCTATAGCTAGCTACTTGCTCAGCAGGCTTCATCTGGGAGCCCCAGTCTCCAGCCACCGGCTGCTCAGTGCTCCTGGTTCACCTGAAACCTGGAACGAGAATGTCTGGGAAAGTCGGATGCACCAAGAGCCCCGGACTTCTGCCCTCTCCCTCACTGGGTGGGGCAGGAGCCGAGCAATAAATTGACTGTGTGCGTTGCAGGGCAGCCACCCGGTCGGGAAACCCCTCGCCCCGTGCAGGGAGGGTGTTAGAAGGCTATGGGTTGAAGCGTGTCCCTCTGTCGTGGTGACGCGTCGGGCTGTGAACCACAAGGTCAGCAGTTGAAATCCACCAGCCACTCTGATGGAGAAAGACTTTCTATCCTGTAAAGACTAACAGTCTCAGAAGCCCATGGAGGCAGATCTACTCTGTCCTGTAGGGTCTCTTTGACTCAGAATTGGCTCGATGGCTGAGAGAGTTTGTGGCGATCTGAATGCCCCCCGGGTCTGTAAGTAAAACTCACCCTGTTGGGCAATAAGGATTTTTTGGGGGGGGTGGGGGGGTAGGACTGAGATGATGGGTCTCAAATCTCATCGCTTCTGAGTTATACCTACAAATCAAACCCCACCCGCTGCCATTGAGCCGATTCTGACTCACCAAGATCCTTCCTCGGCTGTAATTCGTTGCGGGAGCAGAGAGTCTCCTCTTTCTCCAGTGCAGTGTCTGGTGGGTTTGAACTGCCCACCTTGCGGTTAGCAGCCCAGCACCTAACCCACAGAACAAAGAGTGAAGCACACAGAGACACCCCGTGGGGACTTAGTCAGGAGTCAGGCATCAGCACAGCACGTCTGAGGAGGGCGGGCCTGCGCTGAAGGAGCCCACTGCCCAGAGCCTGGTTTGGCTTTTCAGCCTCCGAGTGGCGCTGAGACCCAGTCCGTCCATGTGAGGGACTTCTGTTTGGGCAACACTGGGAGCCGGCTAGCAGCAGGCTGGGCCCCTGGGGAGGGGGAGGGTTTCCTGGGTCACGTTTCACTGCAGGCCCAGGACCTGAAGGAGCCATACTGTTCTAGGGCCAGATTTGCCCCAGCGGCTGAGAGAGCACTGTTTTGAAATGCAATCGGGGATTAAGGTGAAAGGATTGTTGCCGGAATGTTCTCTGGCAGGGCATGCCGGCTTTCTGTCAGTCATTGCTTCTCACAGGTCCCAATGTCTCAGCCAAGCAGCCCCGGGACTCTCTGGTGCCCCTAGAAGACATGCCCAAGCCCCATTTCTTCTCCCAGTCTGTGCAGCAGCCCCCCAATCCTACAGGAAAAGAGGGGAAGTTGGCGTGAGCCAATCAGGAAGAGAAAAAAAAGGAAGAGGCATTTGAAACGGACTGTAATGAAATGCAAAGGACCTCCCAGGTGGGCCGGTGGCTTCACAAGTGTGGCTGGTGGCCCCGTGAGGCTCTTAGAGAAAGTTGAGAAAAGCCACTGATTCCCTCCCAAATGGCCACCATGACCCAACATCCCTACATTGGCTGCCGGCAATTTTTGTGAGCCCTCTCCTCATTTCTGGGAAGAGGAGGTTGGAGGGAAGGGACAGGACCAGAGAAGCTGTCACTGACCATGGCCTTGGACCTCTAGGAAGAAGAAACCCATCAACCAGCACCGACAGGACAAAGGCAAAGAAACGTGAGCTCCTCTCACATCTTCTTCTTCAGCTCTGGTCCTTTCGCACCTCCGGGATCCTGGTTTTTCCAACAGGCAACAAGTCTAGACCCTTCACATTGAGTGGGGCCGGCACATGGCAGTGGTTACGCATTGGGCTGCGATCCCCGTGGTCGGCAGTTCGAAACCACCAGCAGCTCTCTACTCCCATCAACAGGGAGTCACCATGAGTCAGCCTTGACGCGAAGGCAGTGAGTTTGGCTTTGGTTTGGCTTTGGCCACGGTTCCCGGTGACCTGGCCCTACCCCTCACCGTGGGAAAATTGACACCCACTCCTCTTCCTCTTTCCCGAGTGTTCCCAGAGTGGATTCACTTCCTCAGATCCCTGTCCCGTCCGTCCGTCATACGCCTCTGCTGGGAGATTGTTGGGAAGAGGGCAGGAGGGCACCAGAGAGGAGAGTCCTGATAGCAACTTCCTATTCCCGAATTCTCTTTCAACAGCACCCCCTTCCCCCTTTCCGCCACCGTGTGACCCACTAGGAGGCCCCCAGGACCCCTCCCTTCAACAAAACTCAGTATTCACTGCCAGAGGGTCCTTTCTGACTCCTAGTGACCCTCCCGGCAGAGTCTGAGTCAGTCAGAAACTCTTCACGGGCGTAGAAAGCCTCATCGACTGGGAACTAGTGGTTTCAAACTGCTGATCTCACTGTGTGAAGCCCAATACATAGCCACCAGGGATCCTCTCACCTTTAACAAAGCTGGAGGCTGGGGGAGGAACACAGAACAGGAAGATGGCAAGCTCCCCTTTCCTGGCCCCCTGGTGTTGTGGATCCCACCTGGGATAAGGGGGAGCTCTCTCCTTCAGCTCACTCTCCAAAGACCCTTCTCGTCCCCCTGGAAGTGGGCGTTCCAGTCCACCAGGCTGAGAGGGAACATCAGAGCATTTCTAGCTTGTTGCCACTTCTGCCTGCAGCAACTTCCGGATTGCTCTCCCGTCCTCCCCCGGTTCCGAATGCATCATTAGCCACCTTCCGGGGATGTGAACTTAAACGAGGCTCTGAGGCATCTGGGCTGGGCATTTTGGTTCTGTTCTGTTGGCCAGATTAGGCAAAGACACCTGCTTTCTAAACACCACGACAGGTTCTGGAGCTGTGCACCTGGGCGAACTCCCTCCCGGAATCTTTGGAGGTCAAGGGTGACCCTTTAAATCCAAACGACCCCCAGACACATTGTCTTCCCCATCCTGTGACCTTGGGTAGACTCCCCACCCATCCCGGTCTCCAGTTCCCACAGGGAGAATGAAGGCTAGGGTCCACTCTGGGGGAATTCCGGGAGGGTCAAGTGCAGGAACATGGAATTGACCCAAACACTGGTCAGCCGTGGGGGCCCCACTCGCTCTCTGAGCACAGCTCTGAGGGTGACCATCAAACAAACGGTCTTCGTGTCTCATTGCTCACCCTACAGAGCCAGCCCGAGGAAGCCCACTCCTGGGTTTAGCTGTGTCAGGAGCCCTGCGAAGGGTTAATGGATCCTGAGCATAAGCCACAGGACAAAAGAGAAATGGCCCAGCCGGGCGACTGGGGTGACAACAAGAACAAAGACTGCGGAAAAGAGGGCTGAGGCCTAGGTGGTCTGGCCAGACCCCACTTTAGCTTAACCACAGCCGCTATTAAGACACTCAAAGGTGCCATCAGGGCTTCTAAAGGCTGCATCAGGCCGAACCCTGCCTTCTCATCAGAGGGGCGGGGAGCGGCCAGGAAACCAAAGGGCTGAGATTTCAGCTGCTGCCAGGCCTCGCTGCCCCAGCATGCTCACTCCCAGAATAGCCGGGCCTGGCTTCCCAGCAGCCCCCACCACACACCGCAACTGGGCTTCCGGCCCTGGAGATGAGCAGACAGACAGCCCCAGGCCTCCCAAACCCCAAGCCTGGCCGGGAACAGCTGGGATCGGGCCCCGCCCAGAAGCCTGCTGGCTGGCTCGGCCCTCCTGGAGGCGCCATCTCTGCTGAGTGAGGGCCCGCCTGAGCCCACGTGGCACTGTGTCTCCCCACTTTCACGTCAAGGTTCTGGCAGATGTGATCCGAGGGGCAACCTGCAGAAGAACAGGGCTGGAGGACGAAGAAGGGGCAGCAGCGGAGATGCGCAGCCTCAGCTTTGCCCTAGTGCTGTGGTGGGTTAAGGAGGGGACTGCTAATAGCAAGGTCCACAGTTCAAACCCACCAGCTCTTCAGCCAGAGAAATATGAGGTTGTCTACACCCATCAAGATTAACATGGTCAGAAACTCACCAGGACGGTTTTATTCTGTCCTATTGGGTCCTAAGGAGCCCCAGTGGTATAAGGTGGTTGTGTGTTCAGCTGTTAACCACAAGGTCAGCAGTTTGCCACCACTACCCACTCTGTGGGAGAAAGACGAGGCTTTCTACTCCTGTAAAGAGCTACAGTCTTAGGAAACCCAGGGCAGTGCCACCCTGTCCTATAGGGTCACTCTGAGTCAGAATCGACCCGATGGCAGTGAGTCGGGCTTGGTTTTGTAAGGTGAAGTCCACACAGGATGGGGATGGGGCAAGGTACCAAGAGGCACCAGGCAAGTAGCTTTCCCTGAGAGTTCCCACCACCACTGGGGACATATGCCCGTACATAAAGAGCCATCGAACACCAAACTTACTGCCATCAAGTCAGTGCTGGCTCACAGTGACCCCATAGGACGGGGCAGAACTGCTCCTGTGGGTTTCTGAGACCATGACTCTGTTTTGTTTTAGTTTTAAATAGTTTTATTGGCATATCCTTCACACATCACACAATGTAATCATTCAATCCTATTAAGACTTGTGCAATCGTCACCGCAATCCATTTCAGGACATTTTCTTCTCGCTGTTGCTTGCTCCGAGACGGTAACTCCTTACTGGAGTTGAAAGCCTCATCTTTCCCCCAAGGAGGGGGCCAGTGGCTTCAAGCGGCTGACCTTGCAGTTAGCAGCCCAACACAGAACCACTGCACCACCAGAGCTGGTGGTGGTGGAACCACAGAGCCATCAGAGCTCCTGGGTTCTTAAAAGGGGTTAAAGAAAAAATATGTTAAAAAGTACTTTGGGAGTCATACCCAAATTCAAACCCAAACTCAAACCCACAGCTGTCTAGTGAGGGGGTTTCCAAGATGGTAAATCTTTTTTTTTTTTTCATGTATTAAGTTTATTTACAAGCATAACCAGTATGCTATTAAGTTCAGCAGAGCTTGATCCAATTTTCAGAGGTAGGACTTCATACAATGGTCTTCTCACCTGTTTCACAGATGAATTTAAGCATCCTATTTCTGAAGCAGTTGGTGTCTTACTATAAAGAAAGGTGCAGCAAAGCCAGACCCAGAGAACATGGTCATCATAACCAGTAACCGCCACTTGTTTTCCACAGAAAATGGCAAATTCTTCCCAGGGCCCTCCTCATAGTGGCTCCTCCGGACCACAGAGGTGGTAAACCTCTGGATGCTCTGCCCCAACATGGCGCTGTTGGAGGCTCGTGAAACTCGCAGAGAGAGACCCAAGATGGTAAATCTTAAGGGGGCAAGACAGCCTCATTGTTTCCCCAGCAGAGTGCCCGGTGGAATCATAGATCAACTGCATTGTCAGCCATGACTAGTCACGTAGCCTCGCTAAGCCCTGAATTCCACATGTGTAGACTGGAGCACCCGCCTTCCTAAACTCACGGCCGTGGGCATCGCAAACAGTTAATGCACTGCTTTCTGAAAGACTTCACATTCTAGCTCCCCCAGAGGCACCTGCAGAGACAGGCCTGGGGTCCACCTTCTGAAGGGCAGCCACTGAAACCCTGTGGCACCCCACGCTTCCCTGACACCCATGAGGTCGCCCTGAGGGTGACCGCACTCCTGGGCTGGAGAGAGCCTATGCTAATAGAAGGCTCTCAGAAAGAGCACCCTGTGAAAGAGAGGCCAGGACTTAGGCGTGCTCCATTCTCAAACTCCTCAGCCTTTCTCTGAACTTCTCCACCTGGGATTCTGGGAGCTGGAGGCCGGAGCGTCTGTTCATAGCAGCAGGAAGACCACGTCCAGAGCCTTGACGGCACCTGGAAAGCTCCTTCCCTTCGGAGAGGGCTGGGAGCCTCTCTCAGGGCCGGGTCCATCATTCCACCTGTGTTGATTGTCCACTTGTGCTGGCTGTCGAAGGCGCTCACCGAGCGCCACTGGGAAGAGGGCCAGACACTCAGAGTGTGTCCCCACAACTCGGCCGTGTAGGTAGGGAGGCCCGGGACCTATGGATGCGATATTGGTGACAGTGCTCAGCTGGATCAGGGGAGCAAACTCTCCCAGGAGGGGCAGCTCCAGGGTCAGCAGAGGAAGAAAGAGAGCCCTGGGAGGAGGAATGGGCTTGGAGAGGCTGAGGGGAGTGGGAGCGTGGCTTGCTCAGTGTGTGGAGCGATGTCAGTGCGGCCCCAGGGCGGACAAGGGTGGGGAGACCGACCGCCTAGCTAGCATAAGAGTCCAGGCACCTACCTGTCAGCAGGCTCAGCGAGGGGCTAGTCTGAGCAGAGCCCTAGGACTGGACCGGCCAGTTCCTGTGGCATCGAGGAGGGAGATCGGGCCGGTGTGCAGGCTGTAAGGTCCTGAATGCCCGGTGAGGAGGGACTCTGGACTTTCATGTCAAGGCAGTGGGGCCTAGCAAAGGTTCATTAGGAACATAGAGTGCCCTGGTGAAGCCTGGGAACGCCCCACAGCGGGAGGGGCTGGCAGGGGGGGTTGGAGGGCCACTCCGTTGGGGGGAGTTCATGGGACTGCTGGCCTAAGGCACACCCACCTCGGCCACCTGCTCAGACTTGCTGAAGGTGGGGGGTGGGGACTGTGCTACCAACACACCTCAGTGTGTTGTTTCTGGAAGGGGTGCGTGGTTTGGAGTGGCCCAAGCCTAGCCATGGAGGCCTGAGCCCTGGATCTGCTCTGCCCCTTAGTGGGGGCAGGCCTGACCCGGGCAGCCCAGAGAATCCAGTTCTCTGTGTCCACAGGGATTTGGGCGGCGGCCAGCGAGCACTGGATGGGAACCGGGATAAAAGGAGCAGCGGGTTTTGTGGCCAAGGTGGTGGCAGGGTTCAGCATCAGGTGACATTCCAGCAGGCTCTGCCCCAGGGCCACTTCCGGGTACATTTCCAAAGGGCTGCCCCATTGGTGACCAATTGGAGGGTCCCTGATCCCAAGCAGCAAGTCTGAGAAGCCAAAGAGCAAAGGCGATTTGGCCGGCCCGGCAGTCCAGCCTGGACAGTCAGTTGCTAGTTAACCCAGAGCCAGGGAGCAAGGAGAGGTCAAACGTAGAAGCTGTTTACCAGACCAGACCGTGGGGAGGCGTCTAGCCACCTAGCGTGGGATCCAGGCACCTAGCTGTCAGTGGGCCAAGAGTCCAACCTGGGCTCAGCAAGGGCCTGGACATGATTTGCTGGACTTGGAGACGCCCACTCAGGGGTCAGGCACTAGGGGCACCAACCCCTGGGCAGGGGAGCAGGCCTCCTGCCCCATGGGGGAGGAAAAGAATCCTGCAAGAGTGTTTGCACATGGCAACTGCCATTCAGACGCCTGCTGTACCCAGGCCAAAGGGACGTCGTCCGCCCTGGAGCATCCCCCACCACTGGCAGATGGAGAACATTCCTCCAATGCCCAGGGCAGGGTTACCAGGCCTTCCACTCTTGGCCCCAAGTGCTGGTCCCGCCCGGGGAGCTGAACTTCCGTAGCAGGCACTGGGCTTGTCTGTTTTGCAGGAAGCTATGATGCCAGTGGGCAGGGCAGGAGGGCACTGTGGGAAGGTCCTTGATAGGGGGCACCTGGTTGCTAATGGGACGGTCAATGATTCGAACCCATCAGTCAGAATCTGTCAATGCTCTGTCCTATCTTGTCACTGTGAGTCTGTGAGTCGGCATCGGGCTGATGGCTGTAGGGTTTCCTTTGGGTTCAGTGTGAGACTGGGACGCAACGGTCCACCTTCTGGGGGTGCCGCACCCAAACCACTTCTGGGGGGTGCTGCATCCCAACCACTTACTGTTAGTGTTTGGACCACAGTCATGGCCATGGCATCATTTCTTATAGCAACCGCAGAGGTGATGTTGTTCCTCAGGAAGTGGTGAGTGGATTCGAACTGCTGACCTCTCTGTTAGCAGCTCCACACGTAACCCTCTGAGCCACCAGGATTCCCTCATGGCGGGTCCTAGAATAAGGTCTATTCTACAAGCCTCGAGGGGAACCTCTGCCTCATGCCAGGCTGAAGCTTTTTGTGCTGTGGTTCAGAGAAAGGAGGGAGGGACAGGAAACCCCGGATCCAGAGACTGGCCCAGGACCACAGCATGGCAGGCCGTGGAGGCCAGAGAAAGCACCTTGAAGAGTTCAGATAAAGAAAGACCAGGTGTCTTTAGCAGAAAAGACAAGACCAGCATGATGGAAGGACCGTCCTGCCAGGAAAAGAGATGCTGACCTTGGAACATCTGTAAGGACCAGGCTTGTGGAAGGGATCTTCTAGGCATAGCTTCAGGGACACCTTAAGGTAAGAGGTGAGGTGGCGCTATCACCCCATGTTGTGATAAAGCAGGCGTGCTAGTTAAGTTTTGGTGCCAACAGGACTCGCGTAGGAACATGTGGGGCAGAGTTGAGCCTGTCAATCAGGGAGGCAGCTTGATTGGAGGATGACCAAGATAAATGGCCCTCTGGATGCCTGCCTCCATCTCTCTCTCTGCTTCATTTTCCTGCTGTTGAGACACTCAGAGAGCTAAGGAGACACATGGAGCGTCCATGCTAATACTTCCACACCACTGGACCCACAAGACTTTTCACCCATTGACCTGTGATCTTCCTGCATTGGGCATCATTGTTTCTGACCGCGTGAGTCTGAAGAGGGATTTATGGCCAGTATCAGACGTATGGACTTGATCTGGACTGGGCTGTTTGCGTGATATATAATTACTTCTTTCTTACCCATCTATGAGTGTCAACGAATTTGTTTCGCTAGTCAATCCAGCCTAACACAGCAGGGCTCCAAAGGGCAACCAGGTGACTTATATCGGGTCACAAGCTCCCTGGCCCCTGACCTCAGAGACTGTGGAGCGACTGAAGGCGGGGACGCTGGGATGCTGGGGACTCCTGTAGCCCCGAGTAGGTAATCCTGGGTCCTGTGAACAGTGGGTGAGCAGTTCTAGTATAAACATGCTTCTCACATTAGTCATCCCCCCACCCCCCCACCCCGGGGAAATGGAGGTTGGTAAAGGGCTGTAAACCTGCTGTGCTACTGACTCAGGTGGGTACTGACTGGTGGGTGGGGGTGGTGCCTGAGTGGAGCGTGGTTGGAGTCTTGGAAAGCAGCAGCATGCACACCCAGGCACCGCCCGTCTCTGGCCATCCCGGGCTGGCTGACTAGGGTAGGGTCTCTTTCATGCTGGGATATCCTCATGCCCTCTGCCTCTGGATTTATGCTCAACCTTGTGGCTAATACAGAGAGCAACAGTGGCCCTAAGGGACCCAGAGTCCAGGCCGACTGCCCTGAGGGAGTTGCAGACCTTGTTCCAGAAACAAAAGGGGTGAAGAGAGAGCAAGCCGGTGAGCAGCCTTCATCAAGCTGTCCCATATTCCCTCTGCCATCCACATGCAGGGCTGGCCTGGCCCAGGGCAGGGCAGGCTCGGACGGGGCACCCAGTCTTCCCAGCCTCGCCCCAGCCTGGGCCAGCAGTAAGGGGGTGGTGTGGTGGCTGGAGTCGCCTCTTTGGGGAGGTCTGCTTTGGGGGGACTCTGTGTTAGTCTGGGTGGACTAGAGAAACAAATTCATAGACACTCATATGTGTATAAGAAAGAGCTTTATATAAATAGCAACTGTTTATTGGAAAAACATCTCAGCCCAGTCCAGATCAAGTCCATAAGTCCGATATTATCCTATATGTTCAATACCAGTCTATAAATTCCACTTCAGACTCATGCAACGACACTGAATATAGGAAGATCACAGGCTAGTGGGTGGAAAGTCTTGTGGATCCAGATCTCAGTGCTGGCATGGGTCTCCACATGGCTCCTCCAGCTCTAGGGCTCTGGCTCCATCAGCATAGCTCCATGTATATTGTCAGCAGGAATTTGAAGCAGAGAGGGTGTGTGTCCCACCTCCAGGGAGGAAGACAGGAGTTCCCAGAATCCTCGGGAGAAGGCCATGCTCACAGAGGCCTCATTGGCTGTGGCCTGATTGACAGGCTAGGCTAGACTCCACCCCTTCGCAAGTTGCTGATATGGAACTGCCACAGACTGCTTCCTTCCCCCCCCCCCCCCCATATACCTTAAACCCTCCATTTTGTGGGGAGGAGTGGTAAATACCCTAAAGAAATCAAGAATACAACACGAACAGATATATGTATCCCTGTGTTTACTACAGTGATGTCCACAATAGCTAAACCATGGAAACCGCCCCAAAACCCCAACTCTAGAGCAACGGCTAGCAAGCTCTGGTACATTCTTCCTCTGGAATATGATGCATCCATTAAAAACTGCTCCAACACCGCAAGAGCTGGACAACACTGGAGCCCCTTATGCTTAGCAGACTCGGTCACTCTTAACAGAGATAAATATTTAACATCGCCATTAATATAAGGACAAATCAAGAAGAAATGTGGTTTATACACCAATAGACAAGACTTTGAGGCGGCCAGGGACAGCAAGGGATGGTGGGGGTTGGGGGGGGATAAAAAATGAGTGAATGAATGAATGGGGGAACTGCTTCCTGAAGCTTGAAAACAAACAGGCCAGAGGGACCCGGGCTCCTCTGCCCACTGCTTTCCAAGGTGGCCTTAACGGGTTTGCCCACCATCTGTCCGAGGCCCCCTCCACGCCCTCCCCAGTCCAGGGTGGGAGTTGAGCAAGACCCAGCTTTGCAATAGGACTGCGAATTTGTGCTCCAAATTTCCCAGTGGGAATCAATACTACAATACAATCTTACCACTATCGCCAGACCGCCCTGGACGGCAGGTCCCAGAAGGGATACACACCTCTGACCTCACACTGCCCCTCAATCCCTTCTGTCTCTTGGCGCAGCGACCTTATGGAACAGGGTAAAAGTGCTCTATTAAGCTTCTGGCTGATCGTTGAAAATTCTGGAGTTCCAACATGCCAGCCAGCTCCTGGGGAGAAAGATGTGGCAGACAGTTTCCGTCAAGGTTTGCAGCCTTGGGAACGTCAGGGGCGTTCTACCCTATTCTCACAGGGTCGCTGTGTGTTGGCTTTGCCAACAGGGCAAGGGGTTTTAATCTGTACCTGAAACAGACCTACCTTCTTATCTTTCTCCCTGCAGAGCTAGTGGCAACCACCCACCTTTCCTTTAGCTCAACCTTGGAGGCACAGGGTCTAGAAAACTAAGTTCCATTCCGGCCCAAGGAGCCCTGGTGGCATTGGGGTTACCCCGGGCTACTAACTGGGGTAGTTCTAAACCACCATCCTCTCTGAGAAATACTCCTGGAAAATATTATAGTCTGGAAACCAGGGGCCTCTCTGCTCTGTCCTATAAGGTCACAAGGAGTCAGCAATGAGTTTGGATTTGGACCCAGGCCAGGGCCTCTAAGTAAGGATTCTCACCCTTCTGAGCTCAGACTCAGGTGTTTGAGCGAGGGGAGG